AAGCAAATGCCGAGAATGAAAAAAATTGCCCAATACAGCAGACTACACGCTTTCCCCTCTTTCCTCTTCAAGAACGCAAATGTGAGGGTGATTCTCGCATCCCACCTATTGACGATGAAAACGTCAGGAGAGATGGCTGTGTGTCCTGTCCCTCGCTTCCTTCGGCCGATCACTCCTCCCAGCAGTTTCTGATCGGCAGGAGTGAGGAGGAGAAGGAAGGACCATGGGCAGGAGAAAAGCATAGCACACGCGATACAGAGATGCTACATGAGCATACAGAGCCAGCAGGAGGGAGCGTTTACCCCTTTGAAGACGTCCATACAAATGCTGAGGAAGACAAGACTTCGTTTGCCATCCGCCATGGCCCCTTCGATCCACTTTACCCTATACCCCTCCCGCCTCCTTCTTCCTCATTTCTGCGCCCACACTTGTCCCCCTCTCTGGGCTTGACTTCTTGGGACCGCACCGTTCCTCTGGGCTTCTTTCCCCATTCGCAATTAGCGCCTTCGGCACCGCCATTCCTCCCGTCGTGGGAGCAAGAAAAGAAGAAGTCGCAACAACCATCGCACCGGTCACCGCCAGGGTCATCACTGAAAGAGCCCCCAAGTCGCCAGGAGCACCAACAGGAACAGCAGCAACCTCAGCAGCAGCAGGAGCGAGAGTCACAACGGCAGCAGCAAGAAGATGAATACCTCTCAGACTTTCAGCGACAACCCCAGGAGCGCGAGAATATTGAGCAAGGCCATGGCGATTATCAGAAACTTCAACAAGCCCGTCGTCCACAGCAGCGCCCTCATTACTACCCTGGCTCTTCCCTCCCTTCGCCCGCCCCCCTCGTCCCTCGCTCACCCTCGTCGTCGCTTCCTCATTGCTGTCCAGCGACTCAACAACGCCCACAGCGAGCCCACCCGCCGCAACAACATGAGCCACTGCAGCAATCTATCCCTCCGCGCCAGCAACAACCTACCGCGCACGGTAACAAGCATTGCCGCAAACTCCCTGCAGGACCACGACTATGCCCAACCAGGTCTCTATTCTCGCCCTCCCCTCGCGCGAGCCATGCCTCTCAAGCCCTCGCCCCTCGTCCGCTCGTGTCTTGCCTGGCAAGCGCTTGTCAGGAAAAGGCAGGTCCTCCTCCGTCCCACAACTCCACCCTTTCCCCCTTGCCCAGCAACCCTGCCTCTTCTTCCTTCCTTCGCCGATCGAGCGGGCTTCCCCGCCTGCTCGCGGAGCTCCGTCGGTACGGTATGGACATTCTCCTCCATCCCTCCCCCCTCTTGATGGAGACGGTGCTGCAGCTTGTCTTTCGGTTTTTTACAGAGCATGCAGCCAAGAAAGGGGTCGACCCTCTCACCCACCGGTAAAAAGGAAGGGGGAGGCAATGTTGCTGTAGGAGCGAACGATGAACCAACTGCAACATCTCTCGCGCGAGCATTCATATTGCCTTTCACCTTAGACCTCTATTGCCATTATTCCTTCCCACTCTATCCATTCGGCTGAAGCTTTCTCTCCCTTACCCCAATCCTGCTCTTTCTGCAGGGAAATCACCCACTGCCTATACAACCAACTGACAGAGCTTTCCACCGCCCTGCCTGACATGGAACACGTCTCCCGCACCAAGCTCCGCGGGGTCCTCGCCCTGCTGAAAACCACCGGATGCTTTATCTGCAGCAAGGAACACGAGAACGCACTCACCACCATGGCCCTCCGCCCCTCCTTGGATACGTATGCCAAATTTCGCCGGCACTACGAGCTGGGGGTCTTCGCCTACGCGGCTTATGCCTCCATCACCCTCCACACCGAGGATGTGGCCCTTCTCCTCCACGCCTCGCCCGCCGGGGCCGAGCAAAGCTGGTACACGGATGGGCTTCACCGTTCCATGTGGTCTGTGGCCATGAAAAACTTCGAGGCGGCGTTGCATCCGGCCCTTCCGTTTTGGAAAACGCTTGCGAACTGCTCGTTCGCCCCAACCTCTTCCACCCTCTCCTCTTCCTCCGCCTCCTCCCTCCCTCCCACCTCTCCCTCGATCCCTCCCTCCTCTCAAGGGAGAAATTTGAGGGCCTCGAGGAGGAGCAAGGGGTCGCAACAGCCCTGGCACCGGCATCCTCCCCAATACGAGGAGGCTCTTCCTCCACAAACCGATCCCTCTCCTTCTCCCTGCTCAGAGCCTCGAGTCTGTTTGTCATCGGGCTTTTCCCGCGGAGAAGCATCACAGGGAGGAGGGTTGGTGGAGGAAGAGGCCAACAAGGAGGCCGAGCACAGAGGTTGGCAGTTCCCGATAGCTTCATTTTCTTCCAGTAGGGTGATCATTTCCTCGTTTCCCCCCCACGTCAACCCCCTCCCCAGCTTGCGCCAGTCCGAGGGTTCTTCCTTCCTTCCCTCCGGAGGCCATCACTCTCCCCCTCCCCAAATTTCTGCCTCCGACTCTATGTCCAATTATCACCAGCAGCCCTTGGGTGACTCGCATGATGCTGAAGAAAGAAGCATAGTTCGAGGATATCTATCGGGCTCCCATCCTCCCTCCTTCCAATCCTCCCAAGCTCTCTCTTCGCCCTCCGACACCTCATACCGTGGAGAGATTCTTCCCCTGCTCCGTTGCACCGCGCGAGATGGGGACGAACGGCTCCCAACGACGGCAAAGCTTGATAGCGGCGGGACAAGGGACCATGAGCCACCATCTCAAATGCAAAGGACGGCATACAGCCAAGCGTGGGAAGCAGGGAGCATCGATCGCGAGCGTTGGGAAGAAGAGAGGAGAGAGGAAGAGCTGGAAGGGGAAAGGGAGGAGGCAACGGACGAGAGGGGAAAGGACGGAGGCGGGACAGACGAGCGTAACCCGTCGATATTTTCCTTATGGAACCCCCCTAGGAACCCTTCTCCTCCTCCTGCGTCGCCTTCCTCTGCCATCGAAATGCCAGGCCTTGCGTCCTATGCCCAGCACCATCCTCACCGACAACATTTTCCCTTCTCAGCCACCCCATTCCCGCCCTCAGCCTCCTTCTCCTTCTTTACATCTCCCGGCCACACAGCCTTCCCTGGTCCTCTTCCTTACGTGCCAAGTTTTTCCTTGTGGACCGCTCCCCCGGTGGGTTCTTGTGGGGGGGGATACGCTGGAGAAGAGGGTCATGGTGAGCGACAGCCACCGCAACCGCATCTAAGCTATTCGTCCACTAGGAAAGACGAGGACGCTGAGGGGGCGGCAACCCTTGTCCAGGGTCTCCCTCACGCATCATTCTCTGCCGCAGCTCCTTGCGTTCAGGGCACTTTGTCGATCTCTTGTTTCTCTTCTCTCCGCATGTCTTATGCACTCTCGACGGATGAGGTTTCTGGTGTTGGCCATCACGTTAGGGTGCATGAGGGCGGAAATGGAGGTGTCAAGGCGAGGGACGACGCGGAGGGATTCGAGGAACCGCAATGAACAATGATAGTCAAAAGAGGAGGCGATGGAAATCAAAGTAATGAGGGACTGGAGATAGCGCGAAGATCATGTACTATATCGGATCGTCGAGTCTACCTAAATCTTTCCACCTCTCGAGTGAGTGTGAAAAAGAGTAAGACCTCTTGCAATCGGCTATGATGTCTCAAAGCAAAACTATTACGAACAATAAAAGCATGAAGAATGTTAAACTTAGAACTCGTCAAAGATGGGAATGGCAATAGCACCCTGAAAGTCAAGATAAACATCTGGAGAAAAGCACTGTTATGAAACGCAAGGACTCTTGTAAAAATCAAAATACGCGCGGCGTCCAATCTTTCCCGTCACAAAGAATACTTTTTCTACGCGTGGACCGCCGTTTTTTCCTTGCCTGCAATGATTCTTGATTTTACGACATTGATCGCTTCTGTTTCTATCTATCTCCTTCTCACTTCATTCCATTTGTTTCTTGTTTGTCTGTCTTACAGAAATCTCTGGATGATGGAAATTTCTTCACAAAGCCTCCCCAATACTTGGTATAAACGAGGGATGAGTCCCCCAAAATCAAGTCAATCTAAAATGCGTGATTTCACTGTATGCTTGAGTGCAGAAATTAATATATGCAGAGTTGAAGTACGTGTATTTTAAGTCTTGCTCCTCAAAATCCTACTCCTGACGTGTGAAAGTGTAATCTGAAAGCATTATTTGAGTAAAGCTCCACCTTGAATTTCAGTCATTTGAGGCATTTGCCTAGTGGTCGCCTCACACTTCTAAAAATTCAATCATATTCATCAGTTATTCTGACTTTCTGTTTTGTCGCATAAAATAAGTGATGTGCTCGATGGTATATGAATGCCAGACGCGTGCTACTTAGCCCCTCGCAGAGAAAACAATGAGCCTTGCAAATCCATAAAACAACCCATTGTTCACCAAAACATGCTTCCGCCGCCTACATTACAGGCTTCGCGAATCTATTGGTACGACAGGCAAAGAATCTTTTACTCTACCAATACGGCCCATGCGGGAACTTGCAAAGACAAAAGAGTTTCCTGTCCGCGACGGAGCGTCTCAGTTCCGGCGACGGGATTCCTTACGAAGCCCCGAGCAACCACGCAGGAAACACGCTGCTTGCCAACACCGAAGAATTGTATCACTGCGCTCTTGCACTCAGCACGAGTTAGGTGCACATCAAGCCACGTGGCCACTCTCTGTCACCATTGATTCTTCCCTCTGAATTGAAATAAATCCAGTACCCACTCCGTCAGTCCCAACCTCCTGGTCGAAACGGACCAAAAGATCTAAAAGAACCATTTTCTTGAAAACGTCCGTGCGCTCTTTTACAAGTGCACCCCCTTCGCCCTCTTTGCAGGCGTGCATGAGCACGAACAAATATTTACCCTGTGCATGTGCAGGATGGGCAGGAGCCTTTTGACGTCTTGAAGGTGGTAATGTGCATCATTGAGGAGCAATCTTTTCCATCGAAGCGGTCTATTTATTCTTCCTCTTCATTTTTGTCAGTTCAGCAGGATCGGTGCATGCGCATTGGGCTGTCCCACTTACTCCGTCCACGCCATCTTTCAATACGCAGCAGTTTTCTAGGTGCGTCGTGTAGACCTTCGTGCGCCTGATTTTGCACGCTTTTGGTGTGCTTGGCTCGGGCGCACTTGGCGCATGCGTGGTTTACGAGCTTACCCAGACCTCCCCCCACCCCCGGGTAAGATGCGTCAACCCTCCATGATTTTCATTTCTTTTGCCTGCTTCTTCACCCCACAGTCTATTCACGCCCCTTTGAAGGAAAGATGTCCACTTTCAAGCTCGTTCCTGCGGACCCCGTTCCGTCTGACATCGAGGTTTCTCAAAGCATCGACCCCGTGAACATTGCCACCATTGCTGCCAATGCCGGCGTCCTTCCGGAAGAACTCGTCCTGTACGGCAACCACAAAGCCAAAATCTCCCTCGATGTCCGCGAGCGGCTCAAAAACCAGAAGGTGAGGGAGAAGACAGGAACAAGGGGGAGCGGGCCAGCACGATCGAGGTAGTGAGCGGGTCCTGCCTAAGGCGTTGTCGCATCCTTCCCTCCTTTCCCCCGCCCCCATCCGCAGAACGGGCACTACATCGTCATGACCGGGATCAACCCCACCCCTTTGGGCGAAGGGAAGAGCACGACCACGGTGGGCCTTTGCCAGGCGCTGGGAGCGCATTTGGGGAAGAAGACCTTTGTCTGCATTCGCCAGCCGTCGCAGGGACCTACCTTCGGGATCAAGGGCGGGGCCGCGGGAGGTGCGATGCTTGGATTCATGCGCTTGCTGGCTCTCTCTTGGGCTCTTGCGCCTCTCTCGCCCGTGCACCCTGTCTGGCGCAGACCACCCCAATC